CACGGATGAGGAATAAACAAAGGAGACTGAGAAGAAGTGATCATACAGCCATGAGAGAGTGGGGCCATGAAAACCTAATAAGGAGAAAATACTCTGAAACAGAAAGCTGCTTCATTGTCAAATGCTTCAGAGAAGTCAAAAGGTATGAGGATTAAGAAAAGTCCATCAAAGGTGGCAATTCAGAGATCACTGGTACCTTTGAAGAGAACAGTTTCAGTGGAAGGATAGGGTAGCAAGTCAAATTGCAGAGGGTTTGGAAAAGAGTGAATGAAGTAAGAGCCACTTACTATAAATGGCTTTCTCAAACAACTTTGCAAAGAACAGGAGAGATTGGAAGATAGCCTTCAAGGAAAGTAGAATCAAGTGAGGATCGTTTAAGTTATGGGCAGACACAGATGTGCTTGTAGGCATGGAAGGAGCCAGTAGAAAGGGAGAGATCAAAGATAAGTAAGAAATTAGGACTGATAGTAGGAACAACTAATTAGAAAAGACAGGAGGATATGGTGCTGGAGTTGTCTGTAGATTGTTCTTGACATTGGATTATCATTGGATACTGGTGTGAAAGAAGAAAAAGTAACATGTATCCTCCATTAGTTTTACATGATTTGCATTGAGTTCATAAGGTTTGGGCACATATTATTGCATCCTTTATCATGAAGCCATATTTTTATCACATTATATATAAAGCAAAATTCTTTTCATGAGCAGCTTATTTTCCCAAGTCTAGCCTTGATTTTCTAAGGTTATTGTCTAAGTTTTCAATTAGGTTAAAATCAAGCATGTTACCAGGTTATTGAGTCATGTTTATCTCCATATCTGAATACATTTCATAACTTTAATTATATATGGCATGATGCAAGGTCATGTTACAGCATTCAGTCTCCACTTGGGAAATTCTGCTATTCCAGAACAATTCTGCTTCTCAACATTTCAATATATTTATCAGAGTTCATCATTCTTTCCATGCAGACAAGACTTTCAGGGCTGGTGGAAGTAAAGAAAATCCCCCAAACCCTTTTGTTTTAAATGTAGATCTGATGAAGATGCACTTTTTTCATTCCAGACTCAATCCAACTTCTGACAACTGCTTGGTTATAGCTTGGAATGAAAAAAAGTGATTTCATCAATAAAAATCAATTTTTTCAACATTCAGTACACATTCTTTGTACTGCTTACCCATTTTTCTTTCAAAGCAACAGTTAGCAATTTTTTAATTGTCTTTTCATAGTTCTTCCAAATTTAAGTCCTCTATTGTACCATAAAGGATACATAACAGTCCATCCAAATATCAGTTTGCTCTAAAGAACTCTGCAAATCAAACACAATAAATGGATTGTCTGCATGGATATTGTTTTTTGCTTGTGATCTCAATTATCTGTGTGCTTAGGTGCAACTGATCCTGTTTCATTGTGTATTTTAATGATTCTTGAAATGCCTGATTCCACTGCACCAATAACTAATGAAATATCATTAACAGTCGTTGCAGCATGCTCTTTCAGAGCTACAGATTTTATACCACCAGCACTCAACTGACAGAGAACTAGGTGGGAAAGGTGGGAAAATCAGTTAAGGACCTGGTCAAGGTTACATTTACTAGGCAACCCTATTTCAATAGATGCATACACACACACACACACACACACACACACACACACACACACACACACACATACACTACCATCACTGTTACAAAATTAAACTCTCTCAAAATTCTTAGTTGTCCCAAGTAATTTGTATGCCACTGAATGACAGATATTCAATCAGGGAAAATTATAATTCATTTTAATTTAGCAGGCATTTATTAAGTGCCTAGTATGCACCAGATGCTGTGCTAAGTGATGCTAGAAAAATAATTCCTTTCCTCAATGAGTTTATGTTCTACTAGTGGGAATCATACATATGTGCGTGTGTGTGTGTGTGTGTGTGTGTGTGTGTGTGTGTATACACACACACATATATATATATATATACATACACACATATATATGTGTGTGTGTGTGTATATGTATATTATAGGAAAGGCACAAAAAACTGAGGAGAAGAGGAAAGGAGATGACACTCAAGCAGTGTTTAGGTATTCTAAAAGGTATTGGTGAGTAGGGAGTGCATACCAGGTATATAGCACACTCTGTGCAAAGTTATGGTGGTATGTAAGTAGGTCAATTTGACAGTAATGTAGAGAAGGAGGAGAGGAAGGAAGGAAGGAAGGAAGGAAGGAAGGAAGGAAGGAAGGAAGGAAGGAAGGAAGGAAGGAAGGAAGGAAGGAAGGAAAGAAGAAGAAGAAGAAGAAGAAGAAGAAGAAGAAGAAGAAGAAGAAGAAGAAGAAGGAGAGAAGAAGAAGAAGAAGGAAGAGGAAGAAGAAGAAGAAGAAGAGAAGAAGAAGAGAAGAAGAAGAGAGAAGAAGAAGAAGAAGAAGAAGAAGAAGAAGAAGAAGAAGAAGAAGAAGAAGAAGAAGAAGAAGAAAGGAAGAAGAAGAAGAAGAAGAAGACAATAAGCCTGGCTGAAATCAGACAGTGGCAGTCTTTAAATACCAGATGAAATTGTATTTTATCCTAGAGGCAATAGGGAGCCAGTGAAACTTCTTGATTAGTGAAATGGTCAGAACTATGCTTCAGCTGTGTCAATTTGGAGATGAGAAAGATTGGAGGCAGGGTGACCAATAAGGAGACTATTATAATTATCCAAGGGAAAGGAGATGAAGACCTAAAGGAGTATAGTGGTTATATGAAAAAAGGATGGGTGTGGGGAATATCATGGAGGTAGAATGGACAAGATTTGGCAAATGGTCATCCAGCCGATATACATCAGATACCGGACTTGAAGTCATCTCCAGTGACTCCCTATTAACCTTCACCACCAAATATAAAACCTTCTGTTTAGTTTTCAAAATCTCTTACAATCTGGCCCTTTCTTATCTTTCCAGCCTTCTTAACAATTTATTCCCCTGAACATACCCTGCAATCCAGAGACAATGGCCTCCTTGCTGTTCCTCACAAATGACACCCCATCTTCTAACTGTTCATCATGGATGCTGATAGGAGCAGCATGGTAGAAATGGGTATGCAGGTTCCAATCCTAGTTCACTTACTTATCAACCACTAGACCTTTGGCAAGTAATTAGACCTTTCTGGGCTTCAATTTCCTCAATAAAGCAAAAGAGGATGTAATCTACATATAATCTTATATAATCTATAAGGTACCTTCTGGCTCTAAACATCTACAATTTTCTGCTTCTTTCCGTTCAGTCATTCAGTTGTGTCTGACTCTTCATGATCCTGTGCCCATGAGGTTTTCTTGGCAAAGATATGAAGGGGTTTGCCATTTCATTCTCTACTAGAAAATGGTAAACATGATTAAGATTGAACTAAAGCCCCCAGTAGTACAGATTTCTGTCAGTCATTACCATCTCTCTAGCTCTATCAAGGACAGTTTGGGCTCTGATTTATTTGAAGTGAGAGAAACTATTATTTTGCTATTGTATTACCAACCAATTATCAAATTAAGGTCCAGGTTTTTCTCCATTTATTTCATTTAGGGCCCAGCCCCTGTAGAAGGTCAATCTCTGAAGGACATTGCTGTTTGATGAGATATCCCTAACCCTCAGAGAGCATACTCGTCAATTTTGGGCCAGATCCCACCCAACTAAGATGAGGGGGAGTGTAAACAGAATCTAGTCTGAGCAAGTTCTTACCCCAAGGAGAATAGTCCTGTCCTTGTACCTCTCCTTAAAATTCAGGGTGAACCAGCTTATGAAAGAGAAAACCAATCAGAGTGGTCTAGGTGGAGATAGATTCCCCCGTCCAGATTTCTGAGGTGACTGAGTCTTATGATCAAGCCACATTCTCAGCAGGAGGAGCTAAAGATTCCTAGCCCACCTTCTCATTAAATGGCCACCAATCAGAGCTGATTTTCACTTGTTGGAAGCATTCTCTTTTACAAAGATATTTGAAGCTCAGTGTCTCCACTGGGAGTCTTTGGCTATCAAGAGAAACCATAGACCATTAATTTATTGATTATTAGCTAGCCTAATTAATAAATATATTATTAATTACTCAGAAACTCTGTCTTTTGGGGTTTTTATTCATCTCAGGAGACAACTTACAGGAAATATTGATTTTCCTCTTTTCCATTTGTTTAAAAGATATTGTGATCTTTAAACTGGGTTTCATTATATTCCAACTACAGCCATTCTTTCAAGCTAAACTTTACCTCTCTGTAAAAAAAAAGTGTAAGTAAAGAGTACTATTTTTCCAGACTTCAAGGGGGTTACCTAGGTTTTAGCTATAATACCTAGAAGTATGACAGATTGGGACAAGCGTTAAGCAAAATGGAATTCCAAGGGTAGAAAAAGATATGCCAGAGAGCTACACATACAGTTTACATTAAAACCAAACTGGACTACTAGTTGTTTGGAAAGAAATAAACTTAGACTTGATATAAGGGGAAGCTTCTTAGCCATTACAACTATTTAAAGGTGGGAAGGGCTATCTCAATAGGTATTGGGCTCCCCTCCCTGGAGATCTTCCCTCCCTGGAGATCTTCTCTCAGACACTGGTTAGCCAAATGGCAGCTCTGTTATAAAGGATGTTTGTGTTCAGGCCTGGATTATACTAAATGACTTTCAGGTTCCCTCTAACTTGAAGATTTCATGATTCTTCCAAGATTAGAGTGAGTTGAACTTCTCTTTGATTCCTAAACCCAAGGATTTCTTCAGATAGGTTGTGTAAATTAAGTTTTTATCAGGAAATGCCATACTCTCCTCAGGACCTTGTTTAACAGAATTAAAGTCTGGAACAAGTGGATAGAGACATGAGGAAATGGAAGAAGGTATCCCTGAACTGAGGTATTACTGTTTAAAGAGGTGAAAAATAAAGCTGACTGTTTTTGTTTGGATGAATTGCCTCCTATCTTGGTCATAAATACTAGATGAAATGTTTTGTGGCTGAAACCAGATAACATATTGTTTTTTTTTTAATTTTCCCAAATTTTCTACTCCACAGGTAATGTCTCCACACAGGAACTATCTTCGAATAAAGCATACATTTTTCTACCTCTAACTTCACAAAAACTTGCCAGGCATCAAAGAAATGAGGGACTACCTGTTACAGAAGACCCAGGTAATGTAAGAATAAGAGAAGCTTTGGTCCAAGTCAGAAAATGATCTTTAAGTCATGTTAATTAAACACTGATGAGTAGAAGACAACGGGGTCACTTTGTGCAATCACTGAAAGGAAGATGAGAGTGCCAAAGTCTCAGTGGCCTAGAGAAAGATACAGAGCATCATTTAAGGGGACTAAGGGAAGCACAGCAGTCACATGGCCTTCACCCATGAGCCCAGGATGAGTATTTCTCACTGTCCACCAGCATAATTTCTTTTGCCAGATTTGAACTACGTTCTAATTCCCAGACTAATGAATGTCTTCAGATTTGTTATGCCTTTTTTTCAATAAATGTTGAACTGAACCCAGACCCTTGCTTAGAAGAAGAGAACCCTGGCAGGGCTTATAGGGGAACCATTGTTCCCAACTTTTTGTGCTCACAGAAACCTGACTCCCCTATACCCCAAAATAAACATTATCCCTGGCCACACTCTGAAGAATTATATATCCTCCAATGCTCCAAACCTAAGGCCAGGAAGAGGTGTAAGCAACACATCTGCTTCTCATTTTCACTTCCTGATTTCACCTTTGTTGTCATCATACAGCAACTTGTCTTCCTTTGAGGTTCACTCTATCCGGCTCCATCACAAAGACTATATTCATGTTGCATGTTCCAAGTACATTCTTCTGCATAAGGCTTCCTGCCTCTCCAAGCCACTAGTGCCTACCCCACTCCCTCAAGGTCCAACACACAATTCCTTCGTATCCTGTTTTCTATATGTTTTTAATATACTTATATAGATGTGTGTATGTATATGGTCTCCTCTGTTAGTATGTGAGATCCTTGAGAGCAGGAATTATATTATCAGAGCATAGCATAGTGCCTGGTAAGTAGTAGGTGCTCAAAAATGTTTGTTGGTTGATTCACTGAAGCACCTACAAATAGACGACAAAAGGGAAGTTTTCAAATCTCTGAATCCAGATGAATTCTATTTCAAGTTTAAAAAAAAAAGAATTTTCAGATGCTAATAATCTTTTTTTAAAAAATCATAAAGAACAGGAGAAGCCCCAAAATATAGGATTGACAAAATTCCTAATTTAACAAAAGGGGGAAATAGCTGGATTCACCAAACCATAGAACACTTAACTTGGTATTGGTCCCAAGTAAATATTTAGAAGGAATTAATAGATATTTTGCAAGAACTGAGGGGAAAAAAAGGTGTGATCATTAGGAACAGGTATGTGTTACCTTGTATGAATAAGTCATGCAAAAAGCAAGGTGCTTTTCTTATTAATATTGTTAATTAATTTGTAAGACATGGCAAGGTCACAGAAAATATAGCATGTGTGTTTCAAAGAGACATTTCGTTAACTTTCTCAAAAATTCCTAGTGGAAAGATGAATAGCTCTCTGGTGATGATCATCCTATTGGATATTTTCAAAACTGTCAACTATATCCAGAGCAAAAATTAATAGGTCAGTGTCAGAACAGATGGGGGGGGCTCCAGGGGAATGCCATAAAACATCATTAACCCTATACTGCTAAATAGTTTTATCAATAAATATAGTCATGCAGTTAGATGGTACAATGGATAGAATAAGAGACTTGGAGTCAGGAAAACCAAAGTCCTTCCTTAGACACTTATCAGCTGTGAGTCATTTAGTCTTTCCATGTCTCAATTTCCTTATCTATGAAGTGGAGATAATAAAAGTATTGACCTCCCAAGGTAGTTGGGAGGGTCAAATGAGTAAACATATGTAAAGTACTTGGCCCACTTTATTAATTTATATTATTATATTAATGCTAGTTATTATTATCATGGACATATAGGTAGATACTAACAAATAGTTCAAGTAACATTAAATATCCATATTGCCAAGAAAATGGGCCTCCTAGGAATGGTTCAGAAAGATATATGTGAAAGAAAGAGACTAATGTTAGAAGGGAAGAGCACAAGGGATAATAACTTATAAGGACTAAGGGAAGAGAAAGAGTTTTTTTATTTTTTTTTCCCCAATGGTCTACAGATATTATCTGCAATTCATCCTGTGTGAATCTTGTTTGTACATCTTTTCTCCCCAATTAGACAGTGAGCTCCTTGAGGGCAGGGACCATCTTTTGCCTTCTTTCCAATCCCTACCATCTGGCACAGGTGCTTAATAAATTCTCAATGACTTGACTAGACAGAATTTCTCATTATTCATTTGATGGAATGGCTACCATTAAGTACTTGAAAAGTCACCATCTTGAAGAGGGCTTGTTTTACTCAGCCCTAGAGGAAAAAACTAGATAAAATTGATCAAAGCCATAAAGAAGTAAATTCAAGCTTGGTATAAGAAAATGTTCCTAATCATTAGATTTACCCAAAGGTAGAAGGGGCCACCTCATTAGGTGCTGAATTCTCTTCTCTAGACATTTTTACTCAAAGCCTAACTGCCTACATGTCAGCTCTGTAGAAGAAGGGAGTCATGTTCAGGCCGGGGTTGGACCAGATAGACTTTGACTCTGAGATTCAGTGATTCCTCCAAATTTGCGGTGAGATGAACGTCTCTCTAATTCCCAAACCTAAGAATTTCTTCACATTTATTGTGAAATTGAGTTTTTATCAGGAATTGTTGTACTATAACTAGGACCTTACTGAGCAGAGCAGAAGCCTAGAGAAAGTGGAAGAGAAATAAGGGAATGGAGGAGGGTATCCCTGGAACTGACTCACTCTCCTTTAAAACTGGAGATCAAGGTGATGGTTCTTGTTTGGATGAATTTCCAGTTACGCTTGTCTTTAATAATAGAATGACTTTTTTTTCCCCAGAATACACCAAGTTCCATATCCCTGATTTTCCAAAACTATTTATTCCACAGGGTATATCTCCACAACTGCAATTTCACAAAAACCCACAAGGCGACAAAGGGTAGAAGAACTGCCTGTTACCGAAGACCCAGGTACTGTGAGAACAAGAGAAAGTTTGATTTATTTCACAAAATAATTGTGTTTTAAGCCACATTAAATAAATACATATGAGTCAAGGACAATGGGCTATCCTCAGTGGAATGGTAGAAAGGTCTATGAGACAGCCAAAGTTTCCATGGGTTGGAAAAAGACACAGAACACCGTTGAAAGAGACAAAAATGAAAACTATCCATCAGTGATCCCAAGATCCAGAACTTCTCATGGCTCAATAGTACGATTTCTTCTACCACATTTAGAGTGAGCTGAACGGGGTTCTAATTTCCAAACCCATTACTTTTTTCAGATGCATTGTGTGTGTGTGTGTGTGGTGTGTGTGTGTGTGTGTGTGTGTGTGTGTGTGTTCTTCCGGCAAATTTTTAATTTAATCCAAGACCTGGCTTAGAGTACAAAAACCCTATCAGGGACTATAAGGAAACAAATATTTCCAACTTCTTGTGCACACAAAAATTTGGCTCCATTTGCATCTCCTATAAGGAAGTGTATCCTTGGTCACTGAAGTATCATAGTTCTTTCTCCAGGACAAAATGAAATACAGTGGGTGGATGCTGTGATGTAGCAAATTTGGGCTTGATATAATTGTTGTTCAGTTGTTTCAGTCATGCTTGACTCTTTGTGACCCCCATTTGGGGTTTTCTTGGTAAAGATACTGGAGTGGTTTGCCATTTTCTTCTCGACCTCATTTTACAGATGAGGAAACTGAGGCAAACAAGGTGACTTGAATTGCCCAGGATTACACAGCTAGGGAGTGTCTGAGGCTAGATTTGAACTCAAGTCTTCCTAACTCTAGGCCCTGCGCTCTATGCAATGTGCTTCCTAACCCTGATCCTATTAGAATTAACCTTTTAAAGGTAGAAAGGGTTGCCCCAGGAAAACATTGTACACAGCAACGGCAACATTGTGCAACAGTAGCTTTGATAGGCTTGGCTCTTCTCAGCAATACAATGATCTAAGACAATTCCAAAAACCTCACAGAGGGGCAACTGAGTGGTGCAGTATATAGAGCATTGGCCCTGGAGTCAGGAGGACCTGAGTTCAAATCCAGCCTCAGGCATATAACGCTTACTAGTTGTGTGACATGGGCAAGTCATTTAACCCCATTGCCTAGCCCAAAAGAAAAAAAAGAGACTCAGGGAAGATGGAAACTGATATCCAGAGAAAGAACTATGGAGTCTGAATACAAATGAAAGCATACATCTTTACTTTATTTTTTCTTTTTTGTGGCTTTTCCTTTTTATTCTGGTTCTTATTTCACAACATGACTAATGTGGAAATGTATTTAATATGATTGCACATGTACAACCTATATTATCAGATTGCTTGCTGCTGGAGGGGAGGGGGCAGAGGGAGAGAGGGAGAAAAAAATTGGAACTCAAAATCTTAGGAAAATGAATGTTGAAAACTATCTTTACGTGTAATTGGAAAAAAACAAAATACTAAAAATTTAAAATGAAATAAATTAATTGTAAAAAAATTTAATAAAATGTTGCCACAGTAGATAGTGGGTTTTCTCCCTAAAGAACTTTACTCAAAGAGATTGGTTTACTAAATGTCAGCTCTGTGGCAAAAGGGATTTCTGCTGAGGCCTAGGTTGGACTAGATGTTCTTGGAGAGGCCCTCCAACTCTGAGATTCAGTGATTCGTCCAAGTTTACAATGAATCAAACTTCTCTCTGACTCCCAAATCCAAGAATTTCTTCATATATATTGTAAGAATGGCTTTTTAATCAGGAAAGGCTATACTATAATTAGGAAATTGCTTAGCAGAGCAGAACCCTGGAAGAAATAAAGGAAAAATAAGAGAGTATAGGAAGGTATCTCTTAAATTGACTTACTCTTTTTAAAACAGTGAAAAATCAAGGTAATTGTTCTTGTTTGGATGAATTTCCTTTTATGTTTCTCTTTTATATTGGAATGAATGTTTTGTGTATGAAACCAGATGGCATGTTTTTGATTTTCCTAAATTCTCTACTCCACAGGAGATGTTTCCATCAAGGAGACATCTACCCATAAAACATACACATTCTTACCTGTTACTTCATAAAAACTCACAAAGCATCAAAGAAGAAAGGAACCACCTAGTACAGAAAACCTGGAGACTGTGAGAACAAGAGAAGGTTCGAACAATATCATAAAATGATGGCCATTTAAGCGACATTGATTAATCCCCTTTGAGGAGAGAACAAAGGAGTAATGTAGCCTCATGGAATTCCTGAAAGGTCTATGAGAGGGTCAAAGACTCAGTGGGATGGAAAGAGGCACAGTATATTATCTAAGGATACCAGAATAGCAACTATTTCTCTTTCATCAATAATCCCAGGATTCAGAATTTCTCATGGTTCAACAGTGAGATTTCTTCTACCAGACTTAGAGTGAGCTGAACTGGGTTCCAATGCCACAACTCATAATTTTTTTCAGATTTGTTGTGCCTTTTTTTAATGTTGAGTTGGACTTAAGACCTTGTTTAGGGAAACAGAACCCATAGTGGAGTCTGTAAGAGAACTACCATTTCCACCTTCTTGGGAAATCACCTCACCTTGCAAAAAGAAGTTGATCTCTTGTCACTGAAGTATTGTTGCTCTCTCTCTCTGGGGTAAAACTAGATACAATGGGTGGAAGCTGTGAAGAAATAAATTTGGACTTTTTAGAATCATAGCTTCCTAACCACCATTAAAGCTAACCATTTGAAGATGGAAAGGGTGCCCTCAGTCAGTAGTGGATTCCCCTCACTGGAAAGCTTTACTTAAGGACTGCTTGCCTACATGTCAACTCTAAGGTAGAAAGAAGTCATGTTCAGGAGTTGGACTAAATGGCCTCCTCCACATTTATAGTAACTTTAACTTCTCCTTAATTCCCAGACCAAAGAATTTCTTCTGGTATGTTGTAAAAATGGGTTTTGTCAGAAAGCAATGTGTTTCACCTAGAATCTTACCTAGCAAAGCAGAAGCCTGGGAGAAATGGAGAGAAAAAAATGGGTGAGTGGAGAAAGGTATACCTATAATGAATGTACTCACCTTTAAAATAGTGGGAGATCAAACTGATTGTTCTCATTTGGATAAATTTCTTTCCATGTTGATCTTTAATACTAGATTGAATATTTTGTGGACTCAAGTGGGTGGCATGTCCCAAACTCTCTACTCCACAAGATATTTTTCCACACTTGAAATATCTTCTCATAAAATGTATACTTCTCTACCTGTAACTTCACAAAAACCCATGAGGCGACAAAGAAGGGTGGAACTCCCCATTACAGAAGACCCAGGTACTGTAAAAACAAGAGAAAGTTTGATTCATTTCATAAAATAATTGCATTTTAAGCCACATTAATTAAACACCTATGACAGGGGTGGAGAACCTGTGGTCTTGAGGCCATATATGGCCCGCTAGGTCTTCAAGTGAGGCCCTCTGAAGACTCCAAACTTCATAGAACAAATCCCTTTAAATTGTTATCATTTTAATTATTATCATTTTAATGATAATAAATATTATTGTTTTATCATGTTAATATAATATTATATATAAATTATTATATTAATTTAATATTAGGTTTAGTGGGATGGAGAGAGGCATAGCATATTTTTAAGGATACCAAAATATCAGCTGTTTGTCCTTCCCTAATGATCTCAGTATCCAGAGCTTCTCACTGCTTAACAGCCTGATTTTTTCTACCTGATCTAGCTTGAGTTGAACTCATGAAATTTTTTTTTAATTTGTAGTGTTGTTTATTTGTTTGTTTGTTTGTTTTTTCAGTAAACATTGAATGAATCCAGGACTTTGCTTAAAGGAATAGAATCCTAATGGGGCCTATATAGGAGCAAGCATTTCTAACTTCTAGTGCTCGCACAAACCTGGCTTCCTCTCCACCTCCCAAAAACATTTAACCCTGGTCATTGAAGTATCATAGCATACTCTCTCTAGGGCAAAATGAGATACAATGGGCAGAAGTTTGAAAAAGCAAATTTAGGCTTGATATAATTATGGCATCTTAATCATTAGATCTATGCCAAGGTGAACTGGTTGCCTCAGTAGATAGATGGGTTCTGCTTCCCAGAGAACTTTACTCAAAGACTGATTGCTTACTTGTCTGCTCAGTGGTTGTGAGGTTTCCTGTTCAGGCCTGGGTTGGACCAGATGCCTTTGATACTCTCTCCAACTCAGATTCAATGATTCCTCCAGGTTTACAGTGAGTTGAACTTCTCTCTGATGACCTAAGGATTTCTTCACATATGCTGTAAAATTTAGCTTTATCAGAAATTACTGTATTATACCCAGAACCTTTCCTGAGGGAAATGAAGGAAAAATGGAGTGGAGGAAGATATCCCTAAAATTGGTGCATTCTCCTTTAAAACAGTGGGAAATCAAGCTGATTTTTCTCATTGGATGAATTTCTTTTTGTGTTGATCTTTAATACTAGATTTTATATTTTGTAGACTCAAGTGGGTAGCATGACCTTGATTTTCCAAACCTCTCTACTCCATGGATAATGTTTCTACCCAAGAGCCATCTATACATATAACATGTGCTTTCTTTCCGATAACTTCACAAAAACCTACAAGGTGGCAAAAAAGGGAGACATTGTCATTTATAGGTACAGTACTGTGAAAACAAGAAAAGGTGTGTATACAATTGGCTTTTAGGCATCATTACCATCCATTATATCTTATGATGATGAAGGTAGTTTCATGGAATGATTGAAAGCTGTATGGAAAGAAGAAGGTAAGGCTCAATAGGATGGTGAGAAACAATGAAGGCAATGAATTTAGACTACTCTTTTTAAAAGTTTGTCTAGGAAAGGAGAGGAGAACCTATGATCATAATCTTTTATCCATCTTTCTTTTTCCACTCCTCATCTGGTTCTTCATGCTCACATGCCTTTCATACCTTCCACCCCTCATTTCTCTCCCAGGCCATTACATCTGCACTGGCAACCTCAATCCCTTCATGAGCCAACTTAACTCTATGCTATCCTCTAATCC